GTATCCCGATCTTCCTGGACGATGTATCAACCAAGTCGGAACATGGATCGCCAATGCCGCTTCCACCATTTTTACCGATATTGTCATCTTGTGTTTACCACTACCTCCTATCTGGAAGCTTCAGCTCGGCAAGTCTGAAAAGCTTGGTCTTACAGCTGCCTTTGCCATAGGCTCATTCGTCGTCTTCGCCTCGGCCTACCGAACCAGCGTTCTCTTCACCTACACCAGCACTGATCCAAGCTACACACTCGCCCCTACAGTAGGATGGACCGAGATCGAAATGTCAGCCGGTATCGTCTCAGCAAATCTCCCAACAATGTTGCCAGTTCTCAGACTCGTCGCCAAATTCACCGGCCTCAGCAGCTTCGCATCGACAGTCCGCAGTAACGTCAGACCATCCGGCGACAAGTCGACAAAGGGCCTAAAGTCCCACGAGAACACCGGCGCTGGCAGGAGTTCCAACGGCTCTGCATCGACGAACGCGTTCTACAGGCTACCAGACGATAACGACTCGACTGATTTGATCAAGGGGCCGAAATTCACGGAGACATCAGCGCCAGTCAACACTAAACTAAGACCTGATGTCGAGGGCTTTGAGCTAACTACTACGACATACAACGCCAAAGTCGACGGTGGGAACTCGAGCAGTGAGGAGATATTGCAGGGCATAAGAGTGCACCGAGAGTTCCATCAAACGACTGCACGATCACCATAACCGAACGAGTCCGGATCAACGGAAGTCAACACATTGTCATGTAAACTAGAGACTAAAAGCAGGCGGTAATGTTAAGAGGCGTTTGTATTTTTCGATTAGATCTAATACCCAATAAACAAGTCCTTCTTTTGAGACTATGCCAGTTCCTCCAACCTTGCATCTAGAAGTTACTGTGCTGACCGGAGGAATATCTTCTGTTTCCAGCCTAAATAACGATAAACTTTGAACCATCACACAAATCATCGTCCCTGTCGATCTAAACCTAGCCATCAACCATGCGGCTCCACGTCAACATTCCTCAAGGCTCACATAGCCGACCATTTCCGCAAAGGTTTCAGCCTCTTTGCTCTCACTTAGCCTAGGGCAGTCTTTCGACATCACCATGAACTCATCGTGATGTTTCAACTGGTGGATACGCGCTCTATATTGGGATTATTCGCTTGGCACACTCCCCAGAAGATCCAACTTGGGAGAATCAGGAGCCTTACTTGGCCTGAGCGCCGAACAATGCTTCGCGCGATCGTGGATGCCATGTGGTAGGAGGATTTAGCGAGTTCGCGAGTCTTGATGGATGGATGTAACCTATATCCACCTGGGAATAGGGACACATGCCTGTGTGTTTATTCAGGGAACAGGGTAGTAACTATTCACTACATAGATTGGAGCTTTTTATCTATAATCCAACAACGTTGGATTTATAAATGTCTTCGACTTCGAGTCCTATGGTTTCTGGCCATCTATCTTACAAGTTCAATACGAAACACAACCAGGGAATGAGAATACGGTTGCGAATGACCAGAGGACTCAAAATAGTTCCAGCAATCCCGAAAACAATCCTTCTCTTTCAGCCATTTCATATCAGCTCCATATCTCTGTTCTACCTACGGCCACGCTATACATGGCCATGACGGCAGAGAATCAGAGGCAGTGCTAAATCTTGCTCTTGTGGAAACGGTTTAAATTGTGTTACAGCCGAGAACCAAACTGGACTATGTGTGTGAGACATGCTCACATTATTCTTGGTAGCTGCTTATTAGCAGAAGCTCACAAAAGACAAAATATTGGTGTTTTCACAAATACGCACCCATCGCTTGATTCTGACCTCACTTGGTGGAATAAGTCTTTTATAGCATCCAGATTCGAGGATGCAAAACAATTATGAATAATGCCCTTAATTATAGGCCAACTTACATAAAACTTTCTATTATTTAGGATTGATTATAAAATTTACTATTTCCCCTACCCGGTTCAAACATCTATTCCGTACCGAATATGTTATACATATTCTAATTGTCAATGCAGCGATACAGGGTAGGGCTATCTTATCTACACGTGATCTTGGGCAGCGGCTCATCTCAGGCTAGCTGCACCGCTCTTTGGATATCCGATGTTGATGCCCCTGGCGAGACCGTGTTACTCTGCGCAGCGCATTTCAATGAAGCCGGTTTAGCTGTTGATATTTCCTTTGTCCCCCTGCGTCTTACCGCCTTCAAGCAATCCCCAATCAAGCGCCCCATTGGTCAACAATTCCACAGCAATCATCTCTTTCTTCAGCGCATCCTCCACAGACACGTCACGAAACGAACGAAGCTCCCACCAAAACTTGCTGCCGCCCCTCCCCCGCCGTTTTTCTCCACGAAACCCGATCTCGCATACTCCTTTTTTTTCCCCCAACACCAAATCAACTCTTGGAAATACAGTAGACACAAAGATCTTGGGTCCCCTAGTGCTCTCCTGAGCGGAGCGATACAAAAAAACCGCCATCATGAGCCGGACGTTGACGAGCCGGCAGGCAGAGGAGCTGTTCGTACAGGGGAGCTTCTGGAGCTTTGATTTGCCCATCTGACACTGCTGCAGGCATAAATCCATCATCGCCTACCTCGCCGCAAATAACCTGCAAGAAAGCGCCAATGCCATGAGGACGGAGCTCAGTCTTGGAGAGGATGCTTTCGATACGGCTACCGCGAAGAAATACGAGACGCTGCTGGAGAAGAAATGGACAAGTGTCGTGCGGTTACAAAAAAAGGTACAGCTGCAGATGCGCGTGCCGTAGCGTTGCTAATAGGGAGATTCGCAGATCATGGACCTAGAAGCACAGAACCACGCCCTCCAGACAGAACTTAATAGCGCTACACCGACATCTCTCTCTAACCGAAGAGGAGATCCATCTTCTTGGCTCCCAGCTGGTCCTCCACGACACGTCCTTCAATCGCATCGAACGCCCATCAACTGCGTCGCCTTCCACCCGATTTTTTCGTCCATCGCATCTGGAGACGAAGATGCCACTATCAAGATCTGGGATTGGGAGTTCGGCGAGCTCGAAAGGACGGTGAAAGGTCACACCAAAGCGGTTCTCGATCTCGACTACGGTGGCCCGAAAGGCCATACACTGCTTGCGTCTTGCAGTTCCGATTTAACCATCAAGCTATGGGATCCTTCGAACGAGTACCAAAATATTCGCACACTACCTGGTCACGACCACAGCGTGAGCGCAGTCCGATTTATACCCTCTGGAGCTCCTGGGGCGCCGTTATCGGGAAATCTGCTCGCGAGCGCTAGCCGAGATGTTACAGTGAGGATATGGGATGTGACGACAGGATATTGTGTCAAGACGATAAGAGGACATGCCGACTGGATTCGTGATGTCGCTCCCTCGTTGGATGGAAAATACCTGCTATCGACTGGCAACGATCGAACAGTGAGACTCTGGGACATTTCAGTGCCAAATCCTGAAGCCAAGCTCGTCATGATTGGCCACGAGCATTTCGTCGAATGCTGCACCTTTGCGCCACCAGCAGCATACTCTCACTTGGCTACTCTAGCCGGCGTAAAGAAGGCGCCTCCAGCAAGCAGCACGGCGGAGTTCATGGCGACCGGTGGTAGAGATAAGACGATTAAGCTGTGGGATGGTCGAGGAACCTGTATCAAGACCCTGGTAGGTCATGACAACTGGGTTCGAGGTCTCGTGTTCCATCCAAGCGGCAAATTCCTTCTCTCGGTATCCGACGACAAGACGATTCGATGCTGGGATCTGAGCCAAGAAGGAAAGTGTGTCAAGACTGTTGAAGGAGCGCACGAACATTTTATCACAAGTCTGAGATGGGCGCCACCTATTATCAAGGACAAGGGTCCGACTGAGGAGGCCAATGGCGATGTGGGCACTCCCAAGAAAGCGGCGGCTGCACCTCAAGACGTGCAGATCCGCTGTGTCATTGCTACAGGAAGTGTAGATATGTCTCTTCGAATCTTTTCGCGGTAGTTGGATACAGCATATCTGAGTATTGGACATAAAACTAGAGGAAGCTGCTCACTATGACCCCATGGCCCAGCGATGTGCCAAAGAGCACGATGCCGATGCCGGTCGGTACGGCATGCCTCAGCCCTCAACAGAGATTCCCTTCTATCGAACGGCCGGAACCATCCCCATCCCAACCCGTCTCGACTTTTGTTTTTACGGGCCCAGAAAAGGCGTATTTCTTTTTCGCCAGGAACCGACACTCCCATCTATCAAATCATAAGCATATTTTATAACAAAACAACAAACCAAGACAAAGCCTCCTTTCTACCGATGGTCCCACCCGTCAAAATGCGTCTGGTGCATGGGGATTTTACGAATAATGTTTGATACCCAAGCGATATGAGTTAGGTATGGACAGTTGATCTGATGATTTGCTGTTAGGAGTGGAGGATGAGTGAGTGAGTGAGTGAGTGAGGGAGGGGGGTTGGGAGGGAAAACTTTTGGGAAAATAGCAGGCATAGACGTTAGGGGCATCATAGAACGGAAATTTTACGTATTTATTTTAATTATTGAGCGAGTTAAGAGTCTGTGCTGTACCAAATGGCTTTGTGATGTGATTGAGCAAGTCAGAGCCGTTGACACTTGGTGTGATGATATGATAGAGCCTCATGACGGATTTCTTGAGGTAGGTGATGTTGATTTCGTCTTTACGTTCAGCCACTTCTTACATAAATCGACACAGTTATAACGTCTGACTGTTTAATTAGTGCGCCTCGCAGTAGAAATGTCCTAATTATTCTACAGAAATGATGAAAGTGGTCGATTGCAGGCACGCATCAATGACGCCACGATCAAGGAGTCCCACTGTTGTTGATTCACCTTTGGCGGCCAAACATGTCGATTAGAACGTCATCAATAATTTGGACTTGCTACAGTGATAATAAGCTCGATATCCATACTCTCTTGGTAGCTGTTCTGCGATACCCAATCTCACCTTGTCAACCTCTGGAGCAACAAGGAATCCTTCTTCAACAACACATCTTCAATATGTCTGCACGCATTGTTCGATCTTCAATGGCCCTGAGGCCTTCTCTCTCCACCCAACGAGGGTTCCGCACCACGAGATTACTTCAACATAACGAGAAGGAACCCATTGGACCAAAATCTTACGAGAAACCCGAGAGCAAGGTTGATAAGTGAGTTATGCGCAGGCAGTAGAGTTGAAGAAGTGGCTGATGATGAGATAGCTCGCACATCGTCATACTGGGAGGTGTCGGTCTCGCACTCGGGGCATTTTTCTTCTTGCTTATGGGGAAGCCTGAGAAAGCAAAGGAACAACCTATCGATGGCACGTCAAAGCCACACGAGAGAGTTCGGGGTTAGCAACGTGGATATGCTGGGTATAAAGATCGATAAGGAACAGCGTATCGAGGGTGTAGAATCCAAGCTCGTGAGCCCCAAATAAAGAGAGAGCGCGAGAGAATACGAGATACGAGAGAGTCTGGGGTTAGCAACGTGGATGTGCAGGGTATAATGATCGGATGGCGTAAGCGATGATTAACTTTGAGAGGGATAAGAAAATAGGTCGTCGGTAACAAACAGAACCTATTACAGAGCAGCTCTAACTGCATTATCTACCAAATCAATGAGGCAGGTCGTCATGTTACGGCATCTCCGCACCTATCACCAAAGAGCTCACATCCCTGTCAAGCTCGCCGTAGGATCTAGTTTACAGCCTCAAAAGAGGCAGCCAAGCCAAAGCTATGCCTCTATTCGTCTGTGATGTGATATACACGTGCGTGTCGCAGTCGACGGACCGCGTAATCAGCACACGACGCGCATTGGGATCACTTTCAGCCTTCTTAGGCGTTTTTGTCTCCCGCTATCAGCCCTACTACTGGGAATAGGTAGGCAGTGATATAAGTTATTTCCCATGGTTATATAGCTGAAGCTTGCACTCAGTCCATCTGACAATCCCCCACTTCAACGACCCCTTCTTACCACCGCTACCTTTCCCCACATACAATGGACGGAGACGGCTTCTCGGTTATTTCACTCACCTCACTCGGCTCGAGTATTTCTCACCGCATCTTGTCCAGCGCCGAAGAGCTCAATGAATTGAACACTGCGCTTCAAGTCCCCGACGAGCGATTGTCCTCGTTCGCGACGAGGCTGTATCAGCTCCATCAGCATGTGGGAGTGCTCGAGACTGCGCTGAACAGCGCCAGTGCTATCTCGGGTAGACTGCAGACTACGATAAGTCATAGTCTTGGATCGTGTGATGTTGTCGCGACCGTGTTGAACAAGCAGATTATGAGACTGCAGGCCGAGACGCTGCCGTTGCTGGATGAGGTGTTTTTGGTGGTTTACAGTGATGCTGTTGTTGCGTTCTCTCGGCTCTTTGCGTTCTTTGCAAAGGTGCTGTCGATGTAAGTGGTGCTTATCTCACTGTGTGGTGTGAATGTTTATTTATGATGTGCTAGCAAAGTTCGAGATGATCAAGATTCTGCTCTCGATACCAAGAGTGGAAGAGAGATATTTGATCACGTTAACAGAGCCTGCCAAAAAGCTTCGCAGACCAAGGATATTCTCTTCACTGGATCGCAGAACGACTCTTATGCCTCGAGTAGTAAAGGACCTCTCCCAGGCGATATCGAACCTCCACCCTATGAACCAGCACAGCCTTCTTCAGCTCAGTCGCCGAGCTGCGAATCACCAAGCGGATCTTCCGGTTTTTCTAAAGGTCTATCTTCGTTGACAAACTCGTTCAAGGCCATGACAGCTGGTCTCTGGCCCAAGCCCGATCCTCTATCCACTGCCCTTTGTCAAGCTGCTCTTCGCGGAGATGTTCAGCAAATGAGCGGTCTACTTGCACAAGGAGCGAACATCAATGGACGAAACGGAGAGGGCAATTCACCTCTAGGCTGTGCTATCTTGGCCAATCAAGAAGACGCCGTGCGGTTCCTCATCGGTTCTGGTGCCGACACCAACGGCAAGGACATGAAGATCCCACCGGTCTTCCTGGCTGCATCAGTTGGAAGCATTGGCGTTGCAAAGATGCTCATCGACCAGGGCACATGGAACGTCAACGCTGCCAGCTGGTCTGGACAATCATACTTTGTCGACGTATGCAACAGTGAGAACCTGGAGGGTATTCAGCTTCTTTTGGACAACGGTGCCAAGCCAAACGCCACGAACACCTCCGGACGGCCAGTTCTTGCCCAGGCTGTCAAGAAGGGTAACTTGGAGCTTGTCAGGATGCTGCTTCAGCATGGCGCGAATCCAGACACTAGTGATCTCTCGGGTAATTCGCTATTATCTATTGCCGCGAGTCAGGACCGTATGGATATGATGAAGCTTCTTCTTGAAAGTGGGACAAATGCAAGTTCAAAGAATCTGAGCGGATTATCTGTACTAGCAGACGCTATCGCAAAGAGAAAATTAGACATGGCAGAACTGCTTCTAAAGCACGGGGCCAATGCCAGCGCAAAGGATCTCGTCGGCCATCCAATTCTCGTCATCGCCCTCCGCGACAGCAAACTCTCACAAAACGAGAAAGTTCGAGTCGTCAGAATGCTTCTCGACCACGGCGCTTCGCCAAACGTATCAGACGGAACTTGGGGCGTCGCAGCGATATGCTTCGCCATGGAGACAGGCAACACGGACCTCGTGAAGATGATGCTAGCAGCTGGCTCCAACACGAAGAAGAAGATGAGCAGCGGCGAGACACTTTTGCTATACGCTATTGATAACGGGAAGAGGGATCAGGCCAAGCTTCTTCTCGAAGCTGGCGCTGATGCTAATGCGGCGGATAAGAAGGGCAGAACGCCGTTGATGCAGGCTATTTCGAGGAGGGATACGGAGTTAATAAGGGTTCTCAAGGCACATGGAGCGGACATGAATGTAGGAGGGTGTATTTCACCGGCTGAGTTGGCGCAGTCGATGGGTGATCTTGAGATTCTGCAGATACTGGGCTTTGGGTCTTCTTCACAGAGAGGACCAGCTCGAGCGCATTCACCGCCCCCGCCTGGGTACGATGCGGCTATGGGCAAAGTATAAGAAACAGACTAAATAAGCGGTTGATACCCCTGAATAATAATTAATATTTCTATTTTCCCAAAACGCCATCTATGTCGCTGTGTTTATTGCTGGTTGAGAATCTCCTTCAACCACCACACATGTATCCTCTCATCCTTGGTCAACTCAGGATGAAAGCTTGTTCCTAGCACATTACCCTGTCTAACAGCGACGATGTCCCCTGAATCGTCCTTAGTGTTGGCTTGTGATACGCCAGACTTCATCTTATCTACTCGACCTGGTAACTTGGCCAGGATTTCTACTGGTGGTCTTCCATCGTCAGATGATCCGATGACTTCTTCCACGACGGGTGCGCGGATAAAGACTCCAGGGAAGAGCTTGTCGTCGTTTAAGAAGGGGAGATTCATTCCTGACTCGAAACTCTCCATTTGACGACCAAAGTGATTGCGGTGAACGCGGACTGCGAGACCACCGATGAGTTCTTGACCACCTTTCTTGGTAGCATTTGCCTCGTCTGAGAGGAGGATGAGACCTGCGCAAGTTCCCCAGACTGGCCTCTTCTGGACTCTGATTTTATGTTAGTATTTGTGTAATTTATGAGACGGGACTGCTTACTTGACGAAATCTCTCAACGGCTCAAGAAGACCAGATTGAGCGGCGACGAAAGAGATAGTGGTGCTCTCGCCACCAGGAATGATAAGAGCATTACACTGATCGAGCTCTTCTTTTGTGCGAACTTCGATACAGTGAAATTTTGTCTTGGAAATACCCTCCGTAGAAGAAAGATACTCTGCGGCCTTTCGCACAAGATCGACATGCTCAGCAAAACCACCCTGAAGGGCCAAGACACCGACCGTAAGACTGATCATCTTGACTCGAAGTTCTCAACAACAATGATTTGCCAGAGAAACGTAAGAAGATAAAGACAAAGAGCGATAACGGACAGTTTAAACTCGGAGCCTTTCACCGAAGGCAGAAAAAAAAAAGTCTTAGTCACTGGCAAGTGACATAACAGACAAGATAGAGAGCGTTCCCCAGATTCTGGTGATGGGTACCGGAGTGACCCAAAAGGGATAAAGACGTGCATTAGAGCGCATGAGGGCTGCATGCATGACGGAGCCGCTAGGGCGTGAGTACCTCCGGACTACCCCGATTGTTCTCCGGGCTAAGAATTAAGAGTTGAGGAGGTGGTTGAACTATATTGAGTCAGTTACTTACTAACTATTAGAGGACATTGGTATTGGACTAGAAGGGCTGAGAGAATAATGAGTGTAGATAATAGAGGAGTGAACCTGGCTTATGGCGGCAAACTCATGCAAGATAAGAGATGAGTGAGATCAGATGAGATGAGATGAGACATTATCTGCAATCTACCAAATGATTCCATCCATGATATCACAAGAAATCTAGAACAATGCATGCATATCCCCCTCTTTGGATACTCCTCACGAGTGCATAAGTACCTTTTTGAGCCTCGTCTTCCCGACAATTGCCGCCTCTAAACATCGGCACATGTCAATGAATCATCCAATTACTGCTGTTGTAGGGCGCGCTTAAAGATGGGCCGGAGCTCGATGCCGGTGGGTTTTAGGGTCTTTCACAGTGGCTATGGCGCATGAGACTTGCATATTCGGAGGCCGCGGCTGCATTTCAGTAAAATTGGTGTCACAGTTGGACCCTTTTTTGACTCCGCATGCACGGCGCCGTATACCGGGTGCGGAGGCGGAAGCGGAGGCCGGAGGTACATACAGTACTGTACGGTTAGTTACCTAACAGTCAGACTAGGAGAAACTCTACCTGAGATTTGTTCTTGTCAACTTCTTCTTTGAGTAATACCCTTTCTAGTCATTGACTCTGTCCTGCATTGGACTAAAAAAAAACTTATAATTACCCGCTCCCCTCTCTTTTCACTCCAACTCAGACCATACCCTCATACCCCCCACTACCTTGTCTTTTACTACTACTTCAGACCATATCTTCGCCATGACCAACGACTCCTCCAACACTGGTGCCGCCTCCAACGGCGAGGCCAAGTCCTCCTTCACCGTCAAGGCTGGTCTCGCCCAGATGCTCAAGGGCGGCGTCATCATGGACGTCACAAACGCTGAGCAGGCCCGCATCGCCGAAGAAGCCGGTGCCTGCGCCGTCATGGCCCTCGAGCGAGTCCCCGCTGACATCCGCAAAGACGGCGGCGTGGCTCGCATGTCAGACCCCGCCATGATCAAGCAGATCCAAGAAGCCGTCACCATCCCCGTCATGGCAAAGGCCCGCATCGGCCACTTCGTCGAGTGCCAGATCCTCGAGGCTCTTGGTGTTGACTACATCGACGAGTCTGAGGTCCTCAC